TCGTATTGGCCTAGCCAACACTCCATAAGCGACAGTGCGTAACGCTTTCGATTGTGTGGACAAACACATCTGCGGTGGCAGATTCCTCTGACAGTTGACAGTGATGCATTTGATACATTACAAGCAACCGCTACTGAAAGCCATACTTCACGTAAATATGCCATTCAGATACAAAGCAATCCCACAAGTTGTCACACTCGTAAGTAATAAAGCGGCTGCCGTCAGGAGTGGCGAAAGGAAAGAAGCGGGTGCATTGTGCGCCTGTAGTTACTCAGAGTTTGAAGAGGTTGTACAAGCAGGTATAATTATTTTTGCCAAATCCCACACACGACTGACGTTTTGGATGCCGGCTTGTATTACATCTGTGAAACTTTTCTTTCATCTCGCCCCCCTCTTCTTCTGTTTCTCTTATCCAATGCAAGCAAACAGAAACAGCTCAAGTCTTCATTTTTAGACACATTACAAGGAGAAAGCTGAACTTCCTAATTCCAGGAGGATCAAGCTCGAACCTCAAAAGAAGCAGCTTTTGCAATAGCTTTACTTTTCCTTTAAGGTTGAATGGCACCGATTGGGGAAAAAAAGGGCGCCTTTGTCTTCCTCTCTCCGCTCGTGATTCGGAGGTGGCTATCATGCAGGGTGCATGCTGAACAAAAGCACCCAAGTGTAACAAGTCCTCCCGGTTTGTACCACTGAAAGAAGGTTAAGTTCAGTTCTTTTTTCCCCTTGGTGCGACGCAGGATGTTTTTTCCTAAACTTTAACATTCCAGTCCCGCTTTAAACACCGTTGATGTTGAGTGAGGGGAAAATAAGCTTTGGCTAGTTATTTATGAACTGCCATTTTGTAAATTGGAAATCTATTCTGTCTTCACACCCTTAAAATAGATTTTTTTGTGGCATGTTTGGGTTTGTTTGTAGAGTGTCTGACCACATCTGTCTGTGCCTGTGGTTGTAGTGTGAGGTAGGTAACATTACTCACATGAAGAGCACGCCCTGTTGCTTTCCTAAACAGTGTGAACAAATTACAGAGTACATTTGAAATGCTTTTTTCGTTTTAATAGAAAACTGACCTCACCTATTTGCATTTGGTCTAAAATTTCACCACAAGGTGCTGAGACACTAAAATTTGTTAAATGATATTATTTATTTTTCGTTTATAATAAAGCATAGGAAAGAATCATCTCTTTAATATCTCAGTTGGAGAGCTCAGAATTTTTCTTCTGAGAAAAACCCTAGTAGTCGCAACAAAGTCTCACACTGTGCTCAAATTTGTTAATTTGATTTTCAATATAAAAATTTCCCATAATTTTTTCTCATTCATTTGATTGCTTTAGTGTATATCAACAATGATCTAATTGGTCAAATTTATCCTAAGGAATTTTAGTAGAAACATCTGAGGTAATGTTTGATATTTCAACGAAAGTCAACTCCATTAGGTCTCCTGAGCTTTGTAACACTGGTTGCTTTATTTTGTTTTCTCATATCTTTTCTTTTTTTTTTTTTTTTTGTGAAGAAGTTAGGACAAAAACATTGTTGTGTCAAGTCACAATGTGTGACATAATACCTCAAAGCAGCTTCGAGTGCGGGTAAATATGCCATTTGGCTGTAGAAGCCAGAGTGTAAGTGGAGCATGTTGACAGGGGTTTATTTAAGAATGAATTAAAAACGCTTCGCCGCAGCCCTGAGGGAGGCCACCACTGTTACTTCGTTGACCTCTTCTAAAAGGGTCCTCACTAGCCAACTATAAATAACTGCACATCATATCTAACTCTGATTGGAGGTCAGCACAGAGGTGGGGGTTTGATTGGTTGTGTGACCAGCTGCAAGATCTGTTTCATAAAGTTGATGTAGATGGACCAAAAGGAAAGACAAATTACATCTATTTAAGATCTCAAATGAATGCAGTGAGATTGGCTAGAATGCAATGAGTTTAAACAGACAACAAATGAAACCTTTTCTCAGAAAAAGACTTAAATTAGAGTCTCAGTAATCTCACAATCTCATTTAAAGTTTTAGAAAAGGACAATGTCTTAGACTGTGTTCTGATTTTAGTAAGAACTGTTTAATATCTCATTTGTTTCTCCTAGACAGCAGCAAGATTAAATTGGAACCTATTCGATTGTTATTTATTTATATAATTTTTTGTGTAGTTTTATTCATATTTTGTAATAGTTTTAATATTTGTATTATTTATATTCTTTTTATTGTTTTAAGAAAAATACACTATACAAATAAAATACAAATAAAGGATTGCACTTTGTTTCGTACTTCCCGCCTCTTTCTACCTTAATCAGCATCAGTATCTCCTGAGCTTCTCCCAGCATACAGTGACAGCCTCAGTCTGTCTTCAGCTCTGGATCCGCCAACTCCAGTAACATGATTCCCTCTGACCCTTCGTGCCACCCTGGCCCCCCTACCGCTCTGCCGCCATCCACCCACCCACACCCATGGACGGCCCACCGTGGGCTCTGTTTTTCTACGGGGGCGGTTGTGGGGGGACGTTGCAGGCGTCAACAATGGTTCTCTGTCAGCGATGATGGATCATTCCAGCATATGGTGCCCACCTGTCCGCGGAGGAGCCGACTTCACTGTTTAGATTTACAGGAGAGAGAGAAAAAGCGAGCGAGCGCCCCGCGTTCTGCCCTCTCCCTCATTCTCACTCCCACAAACAAAGGCGGATTAGGGCTCTGATTCATCACCTCCCAGTCGTGTTTACTTAAGCAACCTGAGCGTAATGAATAAAAGCTGGGACATCCAGAAAAGAGGCGCGCAATCACCCCTGTTTGTGTGTTTTACCGTGTTGTTTTGGAATGTCCGTCCTAGAGCGGCTCAAAAATTTAATCGGCCGTATTATTATTGGACACGGGCACGTCTGTGCGCACGGACGCGACTGTCACAACTTTGCGAGAACGAGAGCGAGTCGTACTACGTGCGTATGCCAAAACAAATTCTTCCCTGTTATTTTCCCATAATGGACCCTCACCCAAGAGCCCCCTCCTTCCCTCTCTCCTGCAAAAAGAAAAGAAACCCAGTTGTCAGCCATTTTTTTTTTTAAACCCGTTAAAGAGGGGAGGGCGAGAGCCACGAGAAAAAAGGAAAATAAAGAGGGAAGAAGAGGGAGCCCCCCCTCCTAAATCTCCCTACACCCACCCCTCCGACCACCCTACACCCTCCGGCCCACCCCCCCACGACCCTGCTGAATTAAAAAATGCTCTTGTTATTAAAGGCGATGTCAGGAGTGTTGATTTACGGGGGGGCTGATGACAAGTCAGAAGAACTCACACACTGTGCTGCTAAGGCCGCCAAGCTGGGCTCTGACCTCTTCACCCTCCCCTTCCCCTCTCTCTCTCTCGCGCTTTCGCTCTGGCTCGTCCGACCGCCCGCCCTGCGCTGCAATAAAACCTGTCTAACTCAACAGCACAATGGAACTGTTGTTGGACCCGGCCAGCCGCGGCCTCCCTCATATTTTCTTTAAAGGTGCAGCGCTCACCAGCGAATGCCACAAGGCTTTGGGAGAGAGATGGGAGAGAGAGATAAGAAGAAAGTAGGTGAGCAAGAAGAAAGAAGCAACTCATGTTCCTGTTTGAAATCTGGATGTGTTTTTCGCTCCCTGCTTAGATGTATGGATGGAAGTTATAAAGCATTTTTCCCCCTGTTTGTACTCCAAATCTTTTTTTAACCTCCACTGTTCGTGAAAGTAATAAAATTGGCAAGTCAGACTCAATAGATTCTCTAACCACAGAACGGAGCCTCTCTCCTGTTGCTCAGAGAGACTCACCGACCCCAGACGCTCTCATTTTGGGCCCGTTTAGTGCCGCCAGCCTCCGGTCCCGCTGCTGAGCTCAGTACATCATGATTAAGAACAGCCGTACTGACCACTTGTTCATCACTAGATATTGTGCCTTTCTCCTTAAATGAACAGCTCACCCAAAAAAAATGTTTATCCTCCCACATTTCAATCCAAACTCATATTACTTTTTTTAGTGCAGCACAAAATGAGATTTTAGGCAGAAAATCTGAGCAGCTTATTTCCATACAGCGAAAACAAGCAGCTAAATAAATAAATACAAAATAAAAGGGAAATCCCTGACTTTCCTTATTTTCTTTATTGTTTTATGTATTTATTTATTATTTTTTTAGTGCAGCACAAAATGGGATTTTAGATAATGTCTGAGCAGCTTTTTTCCACAATAAAAAAAAGTTCCTAAAAGTGATTTATAATGGCATAAATAACAAAAAAGCACCATTACAAAATATCATAAAAGCATAGGCTTTCACATACACTTTATGTAGTATATTCCAAGTCTTCTAAAGCCAATTGATAAATTACCATTGTATGGACTGCTTTCATGTTACTATGCTTTTTGTTTTTGTCTATTTTTTCTTTCTTTCTTTTTTTAAAGCACTTTTATAAAAGAAAGAAAATAAGTCTAAATATACTTTGGTGGTAAGTTTTTGCTTTTTTTTGCTATAGTTTTTCATTGGTAACCTTCCTCTCTCTCTTCAGGGCCAGGAAGCAAATGTGCATCCTGGTGGTGCTCTTCAAAAAGCTGTTTGCCCGCTGATTTACTGTTGCCGGGGTTTTTTTTTTTGAGTGGCACATTTTGCTATTGGACCAAAGATCCTGTGCGGGTGCAGTCTAAAAAATACCGCCGTCATCTGTTCGTAGGGTAGCGAACCGTCACCACATGATGTGGGACAGACCTCGTAGCGGGCAACACAGTGGACAGATGATCTGAGGGAGTGTGAGAGAAAGGAAAAAAGGGTGCGGTAGAGTTACAGAGTTGCATTTTCCCTCTCTCAGTCTAAAGAGCAAGCAAAGCCCCTTTCTGGCTCTGTACGGGAGGGGCCCCACACACACTCAGGCTGGCAAACAGGTGGGGCCCACCGGGCAGTGCTAAGTGAATCCCTCCTGTGATTCTGAGGAAATACAAGCAGAGTGCAAAGGTGTTGTGTATGTGTGGTGCTCACCGCTGTGTTGTCTCTGTTTCTCGTGTCCACAGGCCCTCCAGGCAGCACGCCAGTTCATCCTCCAGCAGGCCACAGGACTCAACTCCCCCAGCAGCAACGAGGTCAAACAGAGCCCCGTGCAGGTATGTGTGCCACATACTCACATAACCACATGTAAGGATTCACAAGCATAGATACAGGCTCATATCATAACAATCAGACGCAAGCTTATTAAATAAATCAGGTTTTTGTCCTTTTATTTTTCAGTAATATCACCCAGCCCTATTTATCATCGTGTCTTACTTTCTCAGATCTTTGTCTGTTAAAGCTCTGATTCTGGTTGTCGCCCATCCCCCGTTTGTACTATATTAAAGACTAGAGTCGTGAATGTGGCTCTTTGTAGTGAAGCGCTGAACAATGGCACTACTTTAAGCTCAAACTTCATTTCTCATTGGGCAGAAGGTTAAGCTTGAGTACATGTTCCTGTAGCATCTGATCACACAGACACACTCGCATACGCACAGACACACAGGAATCTTGAGAATAAAGTAGTGTGGAGAGTTTCATATCCATTTTTGTTTATATAACCTATCCCAGGTTCAGGCCTATCAATGCCAAATCCTAAGTTTTATTAGAATTTTTTTTATTATATATATATATATATATATATATAGTTTTTATTAATACACTGTGCATTTTGCATGTGTGTTGGTAATGTTTTATCTAGGTGTTTCTTCATGCCTGCCATGTTGAATTGGGGCAGTGGTAGTAACTGCCTGCTTTAGCACACCCGTCAAATATGACAAGACGCACTCACATGTTTACACCAGAGTAAAGCTTTGCTATCACAGTCATGAAACATGCTTCTTCCTGTATGAACACAGTTGTGAGACTAATACAGACTGGCATATAGGTACAGATTAGGGTGCACTTTTGATTCAGCCTGATAGAGATGGAGGAGAGAGGAAGATGAACAAGGCAATGCAGTCAATACAAGCATGGAGGTTAAAAGTAGAGAGTGCAAGTGAATGAACGAGCGAAGGGGTGTGTGAGAGCTGCTCAGAGTTTTTCAAATCATCAATAATCCAGGAGGATGACAGTTTAAATGACCGTGTTGAAAGGTTTTCCCTTCAGGGTAATTAACATTATCAAGGAACAGCAGGTTACCTCGTTAGTGGCTCACTCGTTTAATTAACAAACCGCACTAATTAGATTGAACCCTGGGCTGAGGTTTGTTTCAGTGTGCTCGTCGAAAAGTCAAGAAGAGGAAAATCAAAGAAACATTTTTTTCAGAGTCCCTTTTTTCACAAGTTGCTTTTTTGTCAATGGACATTTTATGATTGATGTGTCTTATCAAACAGGTTTAGCTGCTTTCCTGTTTAAATTGTCGTGTTTGCTAAGGCAAGCATCGCTTTTACTTTTTCTTATACATAGGGCATAGTTTACACACAAATTAACTTGCTTTCTTCTGTGGAACCCAAAGAAGATTTAAAAAAACAATACAAGACTTGCACTGAAAAGGGCTCTAAACATATCTAGGAGACGAGTGTCTTTTGGTGAAGTTTTGCACAAGAGCTAATCACGTCTTCTCTTACAGAGTATATAGAGAACTGTATTCTCAGGCTGGATGTTATAAGGCAGTGTTCACACACACAAACACACATGCACACCATGATTTGATGTGTTCTCATGAACTCTGTAGTCTGATCCACTGACCTTGACCCATGACCCTCAGTAGAGCCGCAGGTGAGGCTTTTTGTTTGGGCTTCTAGGGAAGTCTTTCCCATCTCAGCACAAGGCCACCCTGAATACTGATAAAGGTGAGCCCTGAGCTTCTGCTTTGTAGTGTCACTTCCTCGTCCACTGCTTCAGGGCACCAACCCTCAACCCCAAACTTTCCCTACCACGGTCTCTGTACATTCCTAGTTCTTCTGTTGGGTTTAAGGGACTGCAAACCGCCCCTTGTTTGTATCACTGTGGAGTGTTTCCATTACTCTTGACTCTGGAACAAGAAAAATGTCTGGTGTGTAGATTTCTGAATCATGTTGGAGGACTAGATTTTTTTTGTAGTGACACGTCATGCCACTTATGCTTTTATGAAAAGGCCTTCAGCTGTTCGACAGTTAGCCGTCAAGAGATTCTTGCTGTTATTTCACCACTCTTTTATCTCTCAGGGTCTTATTTCAAATGTTTTTTTTTTTTTTTTTTTT